TTGTTCCATTGGATTTTCATCAGCCCTTCAAGGACTAAATTTCACCTCTAATGAAGAAGTGAAGACAGTGGTGCATTCGTGGCTCGCAGCTCAGCTTAAAACATTTTTTAATAGGGGAATATGAAAACTTGTTGACAGATGGACAAAGTGTATTGAAAAACAAGAAAATTATGTCAAAAAATGATGCATCTGTCTTTTCTAAAAATTGATTAAAATAAATTCTTTAACCAGGGTGTGGATCATTCTTAACTCGCCCTCATACATTTCCACTTTTCTACCAAATAATTTTTGCTTTATTTCTTTTAATTATTATTATAGGTAATTTGAGTTGGCAGTATACCTATACACCTAAAATGAAACCATAGGTTTTCACATTTTATAACTTTGTGATTAGTATTTCTCCCACAAGACGATAGATCCTTCAAGGGTAATAATTAACCATATACATTACCTCCTTTTTCCAGTACTATCAAAAATTTTCCAAAAGGAAAATTTCCTAAACTTAAATATTTTATGCCTCAAAAATTTTAAATTATTTTTGGAAAATCTACTAAAATGAATTATGTATTTTATAGATAATTAGTTCAAACAGTTTAAACTTTTCTTGATCCCTCCACCTCAATTTTGTGAACTTTACTTAGGGCATTATACTAAAAATAAAAAATTCACTGCCATCAAGTCAATTCTGTTTCATAGTGACCCTATACAGGGTGCTGCAGGATAATGCACTGGACCGTGAGGTTAGTTTGAACTATAAGGTTGGAAGCTCAAACTCATCAGCCGCTTCTCGGAAACCCTCTACAGGTTTCTAGGAGTTGGAATCGACATGATGGCACTTAACAACAGTAATATATAGAACTCTATATAAGTTCATTGGAGTTCTGGTATGGCGCTGTGGGTTAATGTGCCAGACTGCAAAGCCGTTTGAATTGCACGGTCAGTGGTGCAAGCTCACCAGCTGCTCCTTGGAAACCCTATACAGGGTCACTATGGGTCGGAACTGCCTCAATGGCACTTAAAAACAACAACAAATATAAGTTAATCACAAAAAAACTAACAGCTCAATTGGAAAATGACAAACTTTCACAAAAGAAATACAAATGGCCAACAAACATGTGAAAAGATGTTCAACATCATTAATCATTGTTGTTGTTGCTAAGTGCCATCAAGTTGGTTGAGTTTCTGAGAAGCAACTGGTGAGCTTGAACCATCAACCTTGCAGTTCAAACCTACTTTGCAGTCCAGCGCATTAAATCACAGCACCACACCAGGAGTCCTCATTAGTCATTAGGGGAACAAAACAAAATTACAATGACGTATCACTTCACACCCACTAAGACAGTTACACTTAAAAAAAATGGATAACAACAGATAGGGGTGAGGAAGCTGAGAAAGTGGAAGAGTTATACATTGCTGGATACAGTCCTGGGATGTGGCGCTGTACAATAAGCACTGGACCACAAGGCCAGTTTGAATGGCAAGACTGGAGATTCAAAGTTACCAGTCACTCCTTGGAAACCCTATACAAGGTTGCTATGAATCGGAACTGACTTGATGGCACAACAATATCCACTGCTGGTGGGACTGTAAAAAGGTGTAAAATGGTACACCTGCTGTGGAAAAGACTTTTGTAGTTCCCCACACAGTTAAATATAAAATTACCACATGATCCAGCCATTCCACTTGTCAAACTATTGAAAACAGAAATGCAAACACACTTGTACACGAATGTCCATTGCAGCATTATTCAGAATAGCCAAAATAGCTTAAATGTCCATGAATATGGATAAAATGTGACACAATGGACCATTACGCAGCCATAGAGAAATGAAGTTTTAAAGTCCTCTTTCATTGAAATTACTAATACATGGAAAATAAGTGAGAAAAAAACAATATTATATTTACCTGTAGACCAGATCTTTAGCATCTTATCCCAGGAGCCGCTGCAAAACTAAACACATATATACAAAGGGAAAAAAATAAAAGGACAGAGTATATAACATAATTAATGATATTACTTGCCTCATTGTTTCTACTACTTAATTTAAGACTTTACTTAATTTCTGTGGGGCATAGGCTCTGAAATTCTTTACTACCAAAGTATCATCTGCCCAACTTTCTGGTCTCCTGGAAGCTGTACTCCCAAACCCTACTCATAATTGTTTGGATCAGGGCCAATAGGTCTCTTACTTATTCAGGACCTTTCTTTTAAAACTGTGTCCAAGAGAGCTATAGTTAGTCTTTTTTTAAGAATCTAAAATCTGGAATATAATGAAAACCAGATTCATTGCCATGTGGAGAAAGCCAATCTGTAATGAAAATAAAGCCAATTTATAGACAGTGGGCTAAGTACATCTGAGCCTCCATTCTGTTGGTTCCTGAGGCCAAACTGCATCATCACTTAGGTTACGATAAATTTTCATTTAGGTTTAAGAAACTGAAGATGAATTTCTGTCTTGTGTAGCTATAAGACAGGGGAAAATTCACCTAAGTCTTGATTCAACAACATGTAAACTTCTTTTTGGCTCAAATTGAGAAATCACCAATCTTTTTCTTTGAATATATAAAATGTCCTTTATCCTAACTAGTAAGGAAATACTAAAGAAATACTCCCAAATGCAGAATACTTTGAGGCGGCTCAGGGAATTTTCTGTTAAGAGCAGGGGTAGGGAACATCCGGCCCGAGGCCTTATGTTGTTGTTGTTAAGTGCCATGGAGTCAGATCCAATCTGCAGCAAGCCTGTATAGGGTTTCCGAGGAGCAGTTGGTAAGCTTTAACCACTGACCTTGTGGTTCAAACTGCTTTGCAGTGTGACGCATTAACCCACAGCACCACACCAAGACTCCGAGGGCCATATTGTTGTTAAGTGCCGTCAAGTCGATTCCAACCCATGGCAACCCTGTATAGAGTTTCTGAAGAGCAGCTGATGAGCTTGAATCACCGACCTTGCAGTTCAAACTGCTTTGCAGTCTGGCGCATTAATCCATAGCACCACACCAGGATTCCGAGGGCCATATTGTTGTTAAGTGCCATCAAGTTGGTTCTGAGCCACAGTGACCTTGTAAAGGGTTTCCGAGGAGCAGCTGGTGAGCTTTAACCGCCAACCTTGCAGTTCAAACGGCTTTGCAGCCTGATGCATTAACCCACAGCACCACACCAGGAGTCCAAGGGCCATATAATAATGCCTATGAAATCATTTGGTCTGCGTGGGGAGAACAGCTCTCCACGGGGGTAGTGGGACACAAAAGGATACGCGGAGTCAGCGGATTAAGAAATGAATACACTGCCTAGCAACCACAGTTCCAACCATCACATTGTTGTTGTTAAGTGCCAGTGAGTTGGTTCCAACCCATGGCAACCCTGCATACGATTTCCGCGGAGCAGCTGGTGATCTTAAACCACCAACCTTACGGTTCAAGGATGAGTTAATGAAATGTTTGACCAAATATAGCAAGCTAATTTTTAAGTTGATCATTTTATATGGCCCACAAATGATGTTATAAATTTGGGGAAGAAAGGTTCCCCACCCCTGTTTAAGAGGCTTTGTAGCCCCATATAAACCGGGTGTGGTTTGGTGCTGTGGGTTAATGTTCAAGACTGCAAAGTCAGTTCTAACTGCAATGTCAGTGGATCAAGCTTACCAGCTGTTCCTACGAAACCCTATACAGAGTCACTATGGGTCAGAACTGACTTGACGGCACTTAAGAACACGACAAAAAAGTATTATCAACATTTTTGTTTCCTTTCAACTAACAATTGCTATTTAGTCATGATAGAGTATATCAGCACTCAAATAAAACTCTATTATTATCATGAATTCAGTGTATGCTAAGAAAAACGAGGAGTCCTGGTATGGCGCTGTAGGATAACCACTGGACCGAAAGGTTGGTCTGAACCACTAAGTTGGTGATTCAAACTCACCAGCTGCTCCTTGGAAACTGTATTCAGATTTGTTATGAGTTGGAACCTACTTCACGGCATTAACAACAATAACAAAGAAAAATGAAGCTTTCTGCTTCTGTAAAGATCTGCAACCCCAGAAACTCTATGAGTTAGCACTTAACAACAGCGCTTACTTAAATGTTAAACTAGGCATTTAAAATTTATAACAGCATTGTGAGTAGTTGACAGATTAAAAACACAAGGGGACTTCAAAAAGTTCATGGAAAAATGGAACTGAAAGATAACGGAATTTTTCCATGAACTTTTTGGAGCCACCTCATGTATCGATTATTGTGATTTAAGGTTGTATAGAGAAACTGACTGTTTACCTGATTTGTTAAAATTTCTGTGGTTTATACATTGGTTTTAAACCAAAGATACTCAGACTGAAGAAGTGTCTCTCATTGTATGAATATTTACTGTTGGTTTGAAAGCATATTCTTTAATCATTAAATATTATTAAACTAAGTCAATCACAAGTAGTATATGAAAAAAATTTTTTTAATAAAAAGCTTAAAATCTAAATTAACACTGTATTAATACAGGGTCGCTATGGGTCGGAATCGACTCGATGGCACTTCACAACACAACAGTAACACACAAGCTCCTTACTTTAGTTCCTGTGCTATCCACAGCTATAGAATCCACACTCCCAGCATGGCCTCTGCAGCAGTGCAGGGCTTTCATTTTGTTTCTCTCTATATTCCACTCCCATAGGAGAATCGTTTGATCCATAGAAGCACTCAGTAGTAAGCAAGATAAACTATCTGAAGAAAGGAGAACACAGAATAAGAAACAGATTAGTGTAAAGCTTTTAAATACATTGTGTTCAGAAACCAAAGAAATTATTCTTCTTTTGCCTTAAGTAAGATGTCAAAAAGATAAGAGTTCATTAGGCTGGCCTTTAAATTAAAGCTAATTTACAACAGGAAGAGTCTTCAAAACATGCTATATAAAGGACAGGAGTTTAACACACTTAATTTGAAACGTTTAACATACTTAATCTGAAATGTATATTGCCTGATGTAAATTTAGGAAGGATTCATTTCTATCAATTTATAATTACTATTTTCTAAGACACTAAATTGCTGAAGACCTCATAATAACTGAAACATGAAATATTCCTTGGCGACTCCCCACTGTGCTCCAACAGAGAAACTGGCTGATTTTCAAATCAGATTAGGCAAAGAATCCTTACCTTTTTTCACCCAGGCCACATCTTTTACAACATCTGTATGTCCTACGATTGTCATTATTGACTTTCCTTCCAAGGACCAGATTCGAGAAGTCTTATCGTAAGAGCCAGTTAAAATCCTGTTTAAAATGAAGAGAAAAAAATTCTTTGAAATACAAAAGCAGCATTTTAAAACTTAGAAAACCAACTGTTTTTCTCAGGCAATGACAGTCAACTTTGAGGATTATACTTTTAAAGTCTTTTTCAGTTATGAAGATAAAGATTTCAAAATATTTGGCATTTCCTGACCTTTTACAGACAAAAATACAATGGACAAATCCTAGATTTCATTGTTTACTACTGTTATAAATACTATACCTCTCAGGAACACCAAGCAAATTATTTTAAAAAGTCTTGTACTGTACATTTACAAAATAATAAAATCATTTAAAGAAAAATATAATGTCATGTCATAATTCCCAGGAGACATACTTAGAAAGAAGCTAGCTCCTACTATAATTTCCTTTTGGGAAGTGCAGTGGTTCTATAGGACAAGCACTAGACTGCAAACCACAAGGTTGCTAGTTCAAGCTCACCAGCCATTCCTTGGGAGAAAGGTGAGGCTTTCGGCTCCCATAATAAAGATTTACAGCTTTGAAAACATGGTCAATGGGGGTTTGCTTTGAGCCATCCTCACCTTCTTGGGTCTACTTTGACATTGGTGTTGTTAAATGCTGTTGAGTCAGTTCCTACCCATAGTAACCCTGTATAGGGTTTCTGAGGAGCAGCTGATGAGCTTGAACTGCCGACCTACTTAAAAGTAGTTCAAAAAATTATGCTTTTCCTGGTTTGGCACTCTGTGGACTAATGCAACAAACATAATCTGTATCTTCATGGTAGTAGGTCAGGAGATTTGTGACTATACAAGTTATTTTTCCTCAGTGAAATAAATTATCCTTGGTTTTAAAAACATCATACTCAAACACATAACTCTCCCAAAGCACATGACCTATTTTGAAGATAAATGTCACTATAACAACTTGAGACAAAAAAGAAAACCTATTAATAGAGAATTAGCTTCTTCTTGAATACACTGAATGTAATTATTTCATAAAGTTATCTTTACAAAGAATTGGAAATCAGAGAAAAATATTCACATAGTGGACTTATAAAAACTAAAAGAATGGCATTTTGAAAAAAAGAGATAAAAGGACATGCATCTGACAGTACCATTCCTCTGCCCCTGTAACTGAACTGATCCAGTCATCGTGAAACATGCATTGCTCAGGCTGAGGCGCAGTGTACTTCTCCACGTATTCTAGTTCCACGACCTCTTCCTAGTCAAAGAGAAACCAGAAGCCATTCAGGTGCGACAGTTTTTAAACAGTATATTATGACGATAATGGAGGCTAAAAGTAATATATCTCCTTCATATTAGTGCCCTTCATAAACCCTGAAAATTAGGAGTCATACAAAGAGTCAAAAACTTTATTTGACCTAAATGTCTGATGAAAATAATATCATTAAGGAATACTAATAACCTTGGATAATATATGCTAAAGATGAGGAACAAAAGAATATAAAAAATTTTAATTATAAAAATTTCAAAGCAATTATATATTACATTTTAAGTTATAAAACCAATTATAATAGAATATTTGAAAATTGGGGGGAAAAATAAATCAGAATAACTTAACCCATAAATTTTATTACATATGCATAATTACTTTATACATGTGCATTGTTGTTGTTAAGTGCCATGAATCAGTTTTGGCTTATAGGGACCCTGTATAGAGCTTCCAAGGAGCGGCTGGTGACCTTGAACCACTGACCGTGTGGTTCAAACTGGCCTTGAAGTGAAGCACATTAACCCACAGCGCCACACCAGGACTCCACACATATATTTACTACCCTTTTTTGTTGCCAATTCTTCCACAAATATGAAACTGTTTTTCGAAGAATTGTTGTTGTTAAGTACCACAGAGTCGGGTTCTAGCCCATAGCGACCCTGTACAGGGTTTCCAAGAAGCAGCTGGGGAACGTGAACCACAGGCCTCCTGGTTCAAGTGGACTTTGCAGTCCTGTGTATTAACCAACAACACCAAGAGTAGGGATTTCAAAATTAAATATATAGAAACTAAAGTTCAAATTGCTAGGGAAAACCAATCATCAAAAGAATCTTGGGTGCTGAAGAGCGGTTCAGGCTAATTCTAAAATGAGTTTACTTAAGCAAACTTAAGAATGCTTTAAGTAAAATACAGAAGTATTTGAACTTACTGATGAGATGTTTTCCAGTTCCATATGCTTGACCAAGGGCATTCGTAGAAACTGGCCCTTGACAAGGAAATCAAACTCCACATGTTTGTGGAACTCTAAAGAAAGCACATAATAAAATTATCATCATTCTTAGGACCTGGGGTCAAGTGGTATTGGCAGAGGTATCAAAAAATCCTCAAACAAACAGGTAACTACAATCGCAGTTATTAAACAAAAATCTTTACCCTGAAATCATAACCATCATACCTACATATTCTCTTTAAAGCAACTTAATAGAAATAAATCATCTCTGAAAAACTTTTTGTTCAAAACATTTTTAAACTATCTTCCAGCAAAGAAGCTCATACTATAATTTATTTTTAAAATTTCAGTTTATTTTAGTGTAGTCTGTGGCAATTTACCTTTTTCTAACTCTCAAGAGTATATATACCTACCATTTTTGGCCTCCAACAATTTATTAATGATGTTACTAAGGTCAACAATTTCTGAGGCTGCAGGGATTGAAAATGGAACATCATCTACCGCATATCTATAAAAAGGAAATGATATATCAAAATCAATTCCACAGATACTTGGATAAATGTGCATTTCATTTTTCAACAAATATTACATACCTACTGTTGGCCAGACCTTTTTCTGCATGGGGTACACAGAACAATTAGGATATGGCTACTGTCTCAGAAAGGATGACTGTGGTCATCAAATTCAATGAAATGATGTAAGAACAGTAAGTAATAAAAATAATTCACACGTTATACAGACATAAAGCAGGGGTACACACAGAGAAAAAAACCCCACAAAGTTGGGGAGTAGGGTCTACAAAGATGTACAAAGAAGGTAGTGAATCTAGAAAAAATGAGGTTTTGCCAAATGGGGAAATGGGTATGTATAAAGAAGTGCACATGAAATCAGGAAGAACAGCAAAGCAACAGCTAAGGAGGTTATCAATGCTTTCTGACAGAAAGTATTTTAAATCCCCTTCACTTCCAGCAAGCCAAGTTGTATCATCTGCATATTGCAAGTTGTTAAAGATACCAGGTTTTTCCTCATGTAATCCAGCTTCTCGAATAGTTTGCTCAGCATACAGACTGACTAAGTATGGTGAGAGAATAAAACCCTGGTGCACATCTTTCCTAATTTTAAGCCATTCGGTACTCCCTTGTTCTATTGGAACTGCCTCTTGATCTATGCACAGGTTCCTCAAGAGCACAATTAAGTGTTCTGGAATACTCATTCTCGGCAATATTATCCATAGTTTGTCATGACCCACACAATTGAAAGCCTTTGCGTAGTCAATAAAGCACAGGTAAACATCTTTCCGATATTCTCTACTTTCAACCAAGATCCATGTGACGTCAGCAATGATCTCCCTCGTTCCATGTCCTCTTCTAAATCCAGCTTGAAACTCTGGAAATTCTTTGTCTATGTATGGTTGCAACCATTTTTTTAAACTATCTTTAGCAAAATCTTGCTTGCATAGGATATTAATATTGTCTAATGATTTCCACATCCCGTTGAGTCGCCTCTCTTTGAGATGGGCACAAATATGGATCTGTTTTAGTCAGTTGACCAGGTAGTTGTCTTCCAAATTTCTTTGTATAGATGAACGAGTACCTCCAGTGCTGCATAGTTTGTTGAAAACTGCCAATCTGATCCTACAGCGCCACACCAGGAATCTTGTACTTATATATAATAAATGATTCTTACTGAATGCTAGTTGCATTGGTTCAAACCCAGCAGCTGCTCCTCAGAAACCTTATACAAGGTCACTATGAGTCTGTATTGATTCCATGGCACATCACAACAATGGTTGTACAATCTTGTAACTATAATTAATGCCACTGAACTGTACACTTGATCAAAATACACATGTATCTTACCTACCACAACAAAATTATATTTTACAAATACACTAGTAATGTTCTTTTTTCCTTGAGTAGTAGTAGGTAGACCAATCTGTAAGTGAGAGAGTTGCAAGCTTTTCAATTACTCGCATATCAGGTGCTACAGGACCTTGAATTTGTGACATTACTGAGATTGACAACAGTGAAAAAGAAGGCTACTAGAGAATCTGAGTCAAAGCACCTAATTAATGTCTGAGCAATGGAAAAGCCTGCAACTCTGTCACACAGGGGCAGCAGCAATGGGCCCACACATCCCAATCATGAGGCTGCAGGTCTGCTGTGGTCCCTGCTTTGTACATAAGGTCGCTTGCTGGCTCGTTAGGAGAAGCCTCAAAACCCTATGAGTTGGAACTGACTTGTGGGCATGTGAACAACATATAGGATTAAATTGACAATAATAACTGGAACGATGGGATAACCTTGGGGAGCTGTGAGTTTAGGAAACAAGGGAGACACAAGTCAGAAAAGCAGGGTGAGAACCGCTGCACAAGTAGAATGGCATCTGCCACTAAATGGTACATGTAGAAACTTCAGAATCGATGTGTATTTTGCCGTGCATATGCTCAACAACAGCAAAGGAAATAAAATCCGGGGAAAAATTGTATTCATGAGAAATGCTTAATTGTAATATACTTGGAGAAACTGAGTTTTCAATTAACTTTACAATATTTCTTTTCCAAAAGAATAGTAATAACGATGTAATTTACACACACACACAAACAGTGTAATCGGGAAAAAACAAAGAAAATGAAGTTGTGTTTTCAGAAATGAGACCACCACAGCTGTAAGGACGTGTCCCGTCAGTCTCTTTAAGCACTGGATTCGTATTGAATTACACACATGGTGTGCTTCACTGAGGAAACGACTCGGGCCTCCCCCGACTCACAATCAAATTCTAGAAAGCCTGCGAAGCTGGGCCGAAAGTGGTGATGTCGGAAGACTGCCGGCCAATCCCTGAGAAAGCTTCACAGGGTGCCGGTTCCTCGAGGAGAACCAGCTCGAGCGGACTCCAGACAAAAAAAAAGGCAGGTCGGGTGGGGGACCAAGAACTGAAAACAGAATCAAGCAAAGAAAGACAAGGTCATGCCGAAGGGGTACTTAGAATGGGGGCGCTTACTTACTTCTTGTTGTCAGTGTAGAAGCGTGCCTGGAGCTGAGCCATGGTAAGACGAAAGACGTATACACAAGATGCCCACAGAAACGTCTGGGCAGTGCCGATCTAGTCAACTGGTACTACAAGAAGAGGCGGCTCAAAATTAGACGGCACAGGAAATCAAGAAGCTACAGTCTAGATCCTCCTCAGAAAGCCGTACCACGAGGCCGCTCTTCCACAGTGACCCAGCCCACAAACATCAAGTGCCTATTCCTAGATTTAGGGATCATCGATCAGTAAAGCCTAGTTTTAAAGGTGTCGTGCCCCTTTCATCGCTACAATTTCTTTCAATATATTCAGGCCTGTGATTGATTAGCAAGACATAAAAAGCCCCGACTCGAATCTGTCTGTGTTTTGTTTTGAATTTTTTAAGAGATTGTCCTAATGCACGACACCTCAAACACGACTCCTAGATACTACAATCCCCAGTAAGCAGTGCTTCTTAGTCGCTGTGATTACTGGGAATTATAGTCTTTCAGTCACGGAGCTCGCGGAATCTCTTATTTGTACTAATTACTCCCTAATCCCAGCCAGATAGTTATTAAGTTCTCTATGTCTTCACTTTCAGATGATAAAGGCTTCACCGGTTTTCTTTTTCATGTTCACTCTCAATTAGAACCTCAGTAGCCCAATAGTTTCACTGGGCTCTCGCTTGCAGTTTTGTGTTTTAGATCCAGGTGAGAGGCGGGCATATAAAAAAAGAACGAATCAGAATTGAAACACAACGGTGACCGATAGGGGTCATATCTCATGGGACTGCAATGCGTGCTGCCCGAGGGGTGCGCCTGCGCATTGCGCTGGTCTCCATGGCGGGGCCTCGGAGCCAAGACGAGGTTGAGTAGACTCGTTTTGAATTTTCTCCCTTCTGCTCCGGCATTTTGTGGACTTCCTTCTTCGCCCTGTAGGGCCCTCGGCGGCGGCGGGGCTGGGGAAGTCGGAGGTTTGGCTGAGGTGTATGCGCCGGCGGACCGGACGCTACTTCCCAACCCCCCTTTCTTCCTCGTGCCTCTTCTTGACAACCCCTGACCTGTCGGGGGCTCTGAGTACCCGTGGGTTCCCGCTCCCCGCTACAGCTGGATGCGGGTGGCAGCTGTGTCCCCGCTTTGAGGTCATTTCGGGGCCTGACATAGCGGGGCCTACTTCCCCCGGCCCGAGAGGGGTTCTGGGCTCCGGGGAGACAGGCTGGAAAAGAAGAATGTTAGGTATCTTGAGAAGGGTTGCTAAGCGCGCTACCGCCGGGCCCAAGACTCTCCTCGGGCAGGAGCGCCCGAACGGTGGTTCCTCTAGTTTCCAGCGCCTCGCTTTTCTGATGTCTTGTTTTCCCCAGCTCCCCGCATTCTGACCCCTTTATGTCAGAGTCCTGGTGACGCCATGGTTAAAGTGTTTGGCTGTTAACATAAAGGTTGGCGGTTCAAACCCACCAGCGAGCGGTACCCTGGGAGAACGACGTGTCAATCAGCTTCCATAAAGATTATATCCATGGAAACCTAACGGGGCAGTTCTACTGCCTTGTAATATCGCTAAAAATGGAATTGACTCCAAGCAACGGGTTATGTCCTGCTTAGAAGGCAAAGGCGTCCTCCCACACATTCTCCCCCACTTTTTCTTTCTGAGTTTTTTTGTTTTGTTTTTGACTTGCTAAAAAATCTATTGCGTTTTCTCATTTGTCCTGAGAATTACTCTATGAGGGAGGATGGACAGAGAGATACTGTCTGCATCCTAAAAAGGTACTTTTTAAGGCCTTTGCCAGAAAAGCTCCCAGATGGTACTTAGAGTGGAAACATTTAGAATCAGGCAGAAACTGGATTACAAAATTTCGTCCCAGATCGGTATTTATATGTACAAGGGAAGGCAACTAAAGTTTTGCTTTTCTGTGTTGCTTAAAGACGTACTACATTTAAGTGGGTCCCTAATATTTAAATCAGTCATAGAATATGAGAAATGAATAAGAGGACTGTAAGAGAAAACTAGTTTTTTATCAGAGAAAGGTGATGCAACTAGAACTGTTTTCAATTTTTCACATTTTAGAAAGCAGGCCCTGGAACCAGAATGCTTGGGTTGGAATCTTGCCTCATCTATTTAATTTAACCTCTATGGCACACTTTGTTTAACTGTGAGAATTAAATGCCACAATGGAATCACTTAGTAAACGTTAGTGAGTTGACACCCACACAACATTATTATTGTTACTGTCATTATCATGTAGGTGTCAGTTTAACTAGAAGCCCTGCCTTGGTGGTCCAAGGAGCTCTGGTAGTGTAGTGGTTACCAGTCTGGCTGCTAACCTCAAGGTTGGCAGTTTGAAACTACCAGCTGTTCCACGGAAGGAAGATGAGGCTTTCTGCTCCTGTAAAGATTTGCGGCCTCCGAAACCCTGTGCAGGGTCACTATGAGTCGGAACCAATTCCATGATACTTTCGGTGGTGGTGGCAGCTAATCAGGAAGGTCAGAGGTTTGAATCCATCCAGAAACGCCCAAAAGGAAAGGCCTAGTGATCTACTTTTGAAAAAATCAGTCCTTGAGACACTTAAGAAACTCAGTTCTGCTCTGTCACACATGGGTGCCATTAGTTAGCATCCACATGATGGCACCTGGTAACTGGTTTTTGCCATCCTGAGCAAATTAGGGAGAATAATCATGTGGCAGAGGATAAAATAAAACTCCTAAGAAAAGCTTGTTAGTACTGAGGTTGCTGATGTAAGAGGTGATAATTGTAATGGTGAGTATTTTGCACATTAGGTAATTTAAAACACTTTCTTAATTGAATTCTTACCATTTTCTGAATTAGATAACAGAAAAAATTTTGCAAGTTTTAAACATTCACCTTTAATCATAAGTGATTTTATGATTATATATATCTGTAAATCTTAAAATGATTAGATTCTGTTTCAGATTTTTTAAGTTATTGATAATAGTTTATTAAAATAGTTTGTAAAATATATAGTTTATTAGCTATACTTTCAAAACTCATTGATTTAATTTTTATCAAAACAAAGTAAATATCTTATACTTAGAGTCAGTGCAGGTTTTTAACAAAAGTAGCATCAGTAAAATGCAGCACCTTTATGTCTACTTTATAAGAGACGTGTAATTTGCAAAGCAAAATGTAGAATTCAGTAAGATACTTTTTCTTTTTCCATTTAACTACTTTTTTTTTTTCCCATTTGACTGAGACCTTAGTTAAGGAAAAAAATACATTAGTGTTTCCAAATAACTGACTCCTTTCTTGTTGTTAGATACTACTGTCAAGTCGGTTCTGACCCATAGTGACCCTATGTACAACAGAACAAAACTCTGTCCAGTCCTTCACCACCAATCTCAGTATGTTTTTGTTTTTTCACAACGACTATATTCTGTTTGGAATTGCCTCCAAGCAAAAACCAGCATAATTAATGTTTTACTGTGAGTGTTTTTCTTAATCAAGTGTTTTACTAGAACAAGCTATTGCTTCTTAATGATTTCCTACACAGTTAATTTGCTATGACCCTCGTGACATATCATCTGGAGGTATTTAACTTGGAAATAATACTTCTCTTTATTATCCTTTTTTAAACTGTGAGTACCTGGTGATGCTGTAGGATAAACACTGAACTGCTAACCACAAGGTTGGCAGTTCAACCCTCTCAGTGGTTCCAAGGGAGAAAGATGAGGCTATCTACGCCCATAAAGATTTCCAGCCTCAGAAACTGTGTATCAGGGCACTATGAATAGAAACCAACTTGATAGCACTGGGATTTGTTTGGATTGTGTATAATGGCATGAGTGTGTGGATGATACGGGCTTTTGAGTACTAATTTTTCTTTTCCTACTCTTTTTAATTTGAGCTGTGATGCTCTCTGTGATCCTAAGCAAAGTACTGGGTAGCTTCAGTTTTCAGAAGGGCCATCCTTCAGTTATCTGAACATAGGTAATAATACGTACTTCATAGTCTTCATGAGAACTAAGTGAAATAATTTATTAAGCTCTAAAACAAAGGGCGAAAAGAAAATGGGTATGTAGGTCAAACCAAGATTATGGGGAGGGCAAGCCATAGATAAAAGAAAAGAGAACACCGTCCTTAAACTTTTTTCATGCTGTTCTGAAAGATTAAAATAAGTATTACAT